TTACCACTTGTGAAAATATTTCACTAAAATAAAGTTCTTTCACCTGTGAGAATCCCCTAACAACCAATCTATCCTTGTACCTAGGCCTCTCCACACGAGGGATTCCCTATTTCTTCTTGAAGAGCCATCTAAACTCGTTAGCTTCTTCCCACTTGGTCTGTTAACCAAGACCCATGTCTCATTGTTCTTCAATGAAGTTATTCTCTTCTCTCATAGCTTCAATCCACATATGCATTTCCTTTCCCTTAATTGCTTCTTGGTAAGTGGTTGTCTCACCTTCTTCAATCTCAGAAGCAATATTGAGTACATAGGACATAACAACTTGTCCAAATCTTGTAGGTGGTTTAATTTGCTTCATGTTCTATCTCTGGCCAAATGATAAGTTCTTAGATAATCCTCTGATTCAGAACTCTGACTGTCAGATTCTTCCTAAGCATTTGTTGCCACAGCCTACTCAACAGTGGTTTGTTTTAGAAACTCCACCTCAATCTGAGCTAGGGGTGGTTTTTTTTTTTTTTTTTTTTACCAAATTTCCCTACCATCCCATCGCCCTACCAAACTCTACCGGTTCTCTACCGAATGATTACCGTACCCTACTTTACCATACCGAAATATTTTGGTAGGGCGATGACTCAATATTATTAAAATGGTATTACCCTACCGTACCAAAATATTATTAATAAATAATAATAAATAAAATAAAATTTTAATAACTAATTTATTATATATGAAAAGTGAACATATTATTTTAACTAACTACTATTAGCTAAATTTAATTATACTCCTTAGGTATGTCAAAAATATTTTAAACTGGTTTCATAGATGATGATATAATTGATGTTAAATGTTTTAATGTTATAATTTTATTTAAGAAATATTTTATATTAGGTAAATTAAGAACATGTATTTGGAATGCTTATATTTTAAATATTAGTTTTGTACATTTTAAACTTGTATATACCTTCAATTGCTTTGGAAAATTGATATTCAATTTAGACTTAAATAGTAGTTAGCATAAATTGGTAATTACCATTACCATACCCTACCGTACCGACTTTTGGTATACCGAAGTTTTTGGTAGGGCAAGGGTAAAGAATTTCATAATACCGAAACTTCGGTAATGGTTGTGATTCGTTGGATTTGGTAGGGTTGCCCTACCAACCCATACCTAATCTGAGCACCATCACTTGAAGTTCCTTTAGCAGACAGATATCCATTCATCTTTGCCATCTTTGATTCATCAAAGACTACATCCTTACTCACCATACACTTCTCTTGACCAGGTTCTAGACACCATAACTTAAACCCCTTAACCCCAGTTGGATAACCAATAAAGGCACATTTGAGGGATCTAGGTTCTAGTTTATCACCTTTAACATGACCATAGGTTACACAACCAAAGACCTTAAAATTACTAAAATTAGGAGGCTTACCGTACCATTTCTCATATGGAGTTTTCAACTCAATAGTTGTGGACGAACTTCTATTGATCAGATATGCTGTTGTCGCCACAGCTTCTCCCTAGAACTTCTTTCGCAAACCAGCACCAGTAAGCATACATACTCTCTTCAGAATGGTTATATTCATTCTCTCAGCCACTCCTTCTTGTTGAGGAGTGTGTCCTAATGTCCTGTGCCTTGTGGTGCCCCTAACTTTGCAGAGATCATTGAAGTCACTAGAAACAAATTCCAAGCCATGATGTATTTGATCTCGAGGCTGCTAAGCCAGCATGTGAAATGAAAGGTATTGTTCGAGTTCGAGATTATGTCCTCAAATGCTACAATTTTCTTCATGGTTGATTCTCCACTTCCACTAGCCAATCCATGAACCTCTGAAATGCTTCATCCCTAAATTTCAGAATAAAAGTCCATAGGGTTCTTGAGTAATCATCTATGATTGAAATGAAGTATTTGCCACTACCAAGAGTTTATGTCCTAGCTGGTCCCTACAAGTTAATGTGAGCATAATCTAAAGGCCTTTTTGTAGTGTGTGATCCAGTACCAAAATTGATCCTCTTAGCCTTTCCAAGAACACATAACTCACAGAACTCTAGCTTATCAACCTTGTCCTGTCCCAACAACTGTTGTTTAGAAAATTCATGCAGACCCCTTGCACTGATATGACCAAGTCTCAAATGCCAGAGCTTAATCTTATCATCCTGGGCCGTCCAAAGAAGGATTCAATGGGGTGGAACTGCAACCCGTTGCCTATAAGGAGGCAAGAACCTTGGTATGCGAAGACGCTTTAATCGATTGCGAAAGATCGATTGATAAGTCGGGGTGAACGAACGGAATCCACCGATCTGTTCGAAAGTTCTTAAAGAAACAAAGAGAATAAACTCAATTTAATCATCAAAATTCGTCCATTAAAATAAGTCAAATTGGCAACCTATTTATAAGATCTAAAAAGACTCTTTTTTCACAAGGAAAATGACTCTTACCTAAACTATAATAAAGAAACTAATAAATAAGAAAATCCTAGCCATAAATAAATCTAAAATAATGTAACTATATTAAATCGTGTAATAAAAACGTAATTTAATAAAATAAAAACTCCAAACATCAAGTCGACCACACGAACACTCTTCATAACTCGAGTAGACACTTGGTTGTGCACGTGTGTTAACTTCAAGCTATATTTCTGATCTCTTCCACACCGAATCTCTTTCAGATCAAAACACCAAAGTTTTAGATCTTTAAGTTGGCTTTCCGTAGCAATTCGAATCACCTTAATTGAACTTCAGATGAGAGGGTACTAAGCCAAATGGTGTACTCTGCCAGAATCTTACGGGACTTTTGGGATGCATGAAATTCGACTTGTCCAACGAATTTTCCTCTTCCTCGTCTTCCGATTCTTCGTGTTGGATTTAGTTAGGATCATATCACACTCCATCTCTTCCAAAGAATTCGTCCTCGAATTCGATTCCTTGGAATGAACGTCTAGTATTGAAAGTGAATCCATGAGAGGCAAGAACATTGGTATGCGAAGACGCCGCAATCGATTGTGAAAGATCGATAGATAAGTCGATAGCAAAAGATCGATTGATAAGTTGGGATGAACGAACGGAATCCACCGATCTGTTCGAAAAGTTCTTAAAGAACCAAAGAGAATAAACTCAATTTAATCAACAAAATTCGTCCATGAAAATAAGCCAAATTGGCAACCTATTCACGAGGAAAAAGACTCTTACCTAAACTATAATAAGGAAACTAATAAACAAGAAAATCCTAGCTATAAATAACTCTAAAATAATATAAATATATTAAATTGTAATATAAAAACGTAATTTGATAAAATACAAACTCCAAACATCAAGTCGACCACACGAACACTCTTCATAACTCTAGTAGACACTTGGTTGTGCACGTGTGTTAACTTCACGCTATATTTCTGACCTCTTCCACACCGAATCTCTCTCGGATCAAAACACCAAAGTTTTCGATCTTTAAGTTGGCTTTCCGTAGCAATTCGAATCACCTTAATTGAACTTCAGATAGAGAGGGTACTAAGCCAAATAGTGTACTCTGCCAGAATCTTACGGGACTTTTGGGATGCATGAAATTCGACTTGTCCAACGAATTTTCCTCTTCCTCGTCTTCCGATTCTTCGTGTTGGATTTAGTTAGGATCATATCACACTCCATCTCTTCCAAAGAATTCGTCCTCGAATTCGATTCCTTGGAATGAACGTCTAGTATTGAAAGTGAATCCATGAGAGGCAAGAACATTGGTATGCGAAGACGCCGCAATCGATTGTGAAAGATCGATAGATAAGTCGATAGCAAAAGATCGATTGATAAGTTGGGATGAACGAACGGAATCCACCGATCTGTTCGAAAAGTTCTTAAAGAACCAAAGAGAATAAACTCAATTTAATCAACAAAATTCGTCCATGAAAATAAGCCAAATTGGCAACCTATTCACGAGGAAAAAGACTCTTACCTAAACTATAATAAGGAAACTAATAAACAAGAAAATCCTAGCTATAAATAACTCTAAAATAATATAAATATATTAAATTGTAATATAAAAACGTAATTTGATAAAATACAAACTCCAAACATCAAGTCGACCACACGAACACTCTTCATAACTCTAGTAGACACTTGGTTGTGCACGTGTGTTAACTTCACGCTATATTTCTGACCTCTTCCACACCGAATCTCTCTCGGATCAAAACACCAAAGTTTTCGATCTTTAAGTTGGCTTTCCGTAGTAATTCGAATCACCCACTACTAGAAAAATGCCATTTAGCAACGGGCATATTCGTCTCTAAATTGCAAAAATCCGTCGCTAAAGAGGGTTTAGCGACAGATTCGGTCCGTTGCTAATGCCATCGATAAACACCGCGTCGCTAATTTTTAGCGAGGACGAGGTAGAATCCGTAGCTAATTTGCAACGGCGATAAATCGTTGCGATATCCGTCACACATTTAGCCATGGAGTATGTTGTCGCCAAATCCGTCGCTACATCTTGAACAAATACTTTCTCGCAAATTCCGTCACTACTATGGATAGATCTATCCCAAAATCTATATTATGTTTTCGATTTTATTAAATATTTCAACACAAATAACACCTATTCAAATTTATTGCCTGATGCATATATACTCTTAAAAAAATACCACACTTTCCGAGAACATAACATTAAATCAAGCAAATGATCTTATATATAGCTTTGCATGTGTGATAAAAATCACAATACAACATCCAACCAGAACATCCATTTACAATCTTCTAACCGTTTGCAATATAGTCACAATAAAAAAAAAAAAAAACAATCCTCTAATTGCAATGTTGACATGGTATCTCTAACAGATCCTTCCGGTTGAGTTTGGTGCTCGATGGCAATATGAAATATTAGCTCGCGCTCTTGAAAAGTTGTTCCTTTTTATCTGTCATCCAACTACCTCAAGCTAAAGTACTGTCTCCAACTTGTTTATATAACCACTGTCACTAATGCCTCATCTCCATTAACATCTCCTGTATTATACAGGTAAACCAAAATAAAAAATTAATGCAATGGAACAAAGAACAAAGGACAGAGAAGAGAAAAGAGACAAAATGAGAAACTTATGACAATATCTGATAGATCATAATATTGTATGCAACACATAGCGTGGTAAAGCAAGATGCATCGAGTAGAAAGAGTATAAAAGAATAGTCAGAATATTAGATTTATCATAAAGATAAGAGAAGAATTGTAACAAAATGTATGACTTAAAATTAGTAAATTATTAAAGTAGCATACCTTCACCACACACACAGGTTGCTCAAATTCTCACTCTCATCTTCGATCATCTTTACATGTATCAGGTGTTGCAGAACTAGAAATCAAACATGAAATTTAACTTAAAATTATTGCACAATAAACAACAAATAATTCTAAAATAAAAGGAATACCAATAACCAAACCATTATATTTCAACAACTAACCATCATTTGCTGCAAATATAATCTCAAAATCTTCTATCCTCGGTACATAATTATAGGTATCATCTTTGTATACCAACAGGGTCGACTCTTTAAACCTTCACTTCTTCCTAAAAAAGATTTATAATATAACTAAAAAACAAAAACAAAATCAAAAAGGATATAATACACTAAATGTTCTACAAAAACTAATTAATCTATCATATTACCTGCTCAATTGCACAAGTGTTTCAGCCTCGGTTATTTTTCCCCAACTTAATTATGTTAGTTCTTGTTCACATACAGTCCAAACGCACAATTTTAAACTCAAAACCTGGAACTAAATAACATATAATTAATGTGATTAGTAAATAATATAAACCAAGCACCAAAAAAAAAAAAAAAATAACAATCATTCTCTAAAGTAATTCAAAAACTGAAATTGAATAACCTTTCTTCTTACAGTTGTCTTCAATCTGACTATTTGTTCTCTAAAGCTTCAAAATCTTTGTCACTAGTACCACACAAACAATTTATTCAACATAATAATAATAAATAAATAAAATAAAATAAAATATATCATATCAGCTAGAGTTTCTGTCAGTAATCTATGTACCTAATTAGAAATTAGGGTTTTTACCTAACAAGACATTAAACATACAAAAATTTCGAATTAAAAAAATGAAATAAAATAATTTACCCAATTTAAGATTAGGGTTTTTTTTCAAATATGGCTAGCGGCTCTAATGACGGGCATCTACACCGGCGAACGACTAGGGTAGCGGCGAACGACTAGGGTAGCGTGCCACAACAGTGTTCGGTGAGAATTACAGAGATTGCCTTGTGGACGGCGGCGGCGGACTTGAAACCTAAGAGCCTTTGGGTGTTTGCCTTTTTCAACCGGCGACGAGATGGAAGATGGGTAATGGTGATCTGCATATAGGAAGATGGTGGACCGACTAAGACTCGAATGGTTATTGAGGGAGACGAAAGGGTTGAGGAGAGATTGGAGAATTTGGGAGTGTGGGGAAAGCAAAGAAATTGGTTTCTTTATTTTGAAATGAAAAGTGAAAAATGGTGAACGATGGATTCATGAATTAAATAATTGATACTTTGTTTTAGTCACGGATCTTTGGCTGTCACTACAATTATTGCTAAATCTTTTTGTTAGAAACGAATTTATTGTCCGTAGCTAATTTGCGTAGCTACTGTTCAAACTTTCTAGCTGAAGGGACGATTTTGTATGCCGTCACGAATTCCGTTGCTAAGTATTAGTTTTAGAAACAAATTCATTATCCGTCGCTTATTGCCGTTGCTAAATGGCGTTTTTCTAGTAGTGACCTTAATTGGAAATTAGATGAGAGGGTAATAAGCCGAACGGTGTACTCTGCAGAATCTTACAGGACTTTCTGGATGCATTAAATTCGACTTGTCCAACAAATTTCCCTCTTCCTCGTCTTCTAATTCTTCGTGTTGGATTTAGTTAGGATCATATCACCAGTGTTTATGCAGTCAGAAATCTAGTGGGAGGTCTGTGTATTTTAGTTGGGGATTCGATCGCAAGAATAGTCTTGGATGTCCTGTGTGTTCTAATAGTTTGTAATCTTTAAGTCTATGGCCAGAGCTGACTAAGTGATGATTAGGGAATTCTATTCTCCAAGTCATGCATGTAGCGATTACAACACTTAGAACGATCGCACAGTTATTGAACGGCTAAGGAGGTCTCGATGACCCAATGCCTCTAGTTCAATCGGGACATATTAATCGAAGGGATCGTACCGTACGTTAACTATATCAAAAGGTTCTTGCAGGCACTTCATTTGTATCTAGGGAATCATGACGCGTAGTTGCTAGACGTCAATCTTGATTCGTTGGGTGATTAAATGGAAACGAGCTTCATCTTAACTGTAACTCTAGGGACGAGTTTAAACCACAAAGAGTTGTGGACCCACAGCTAGCTTACACATGAACCATCGAGGGTCACACTGCTGGTGCACTCGAGTTCTCTGAATAAATGGTCAAAGATAAAAATGTTTAATCTTTGCATAATTGAAAGTCAATATGATTGAGTTCAACATTCGTAATTTGGAATTATGAACATAATAAGAAAAGGAAAAGAACTAGGCGAACATCTTAGTGAACTTTCTAAATCGGGAAATTTTCAAATTTAGAAGGTCCACTGAATTAGGGTTTCCACTTTTAGTAATTGGAAATCGATAATTGGCATTCGTAATGACGCGGAAGTTTCAATGATTCCGAAAATATAATCTTTATAATTTTCCAATCATTGAGTTGTGAGAAACGAGCGAATAAAGACTAACGAACTTAGGCTGTTAGGCCCGGTCCAACTTAAGCCCGTTGAAGCTTTTATACAAGACACTATAAATACAAGATTTATAGGTCTTGCACACACACCACAAACCCTAGCCGCTCGTTCCTCACGTCCACGGCCATCCTCCACCGTCGCCGTCGCCGCCGCCCCATCACCGCAATCGGTGCCCAGGCGCCGATAATCTTCGGTAGTTCAATTCCTTTTGATTTATTCTTCCGTTAATTCTAACTTTTTTGTGTCTAGTGCCACGTATTTAGTAGAACTTGGTATACGAGGTGAAATCCGAGAGGATGAAGACAAAGGAGTCAATCTGCCGATCGAGACGCCGCCGCAAACCACCGATGCACGCGCCCTCACGCGCCGCCCGAAGATAGCGCGTGAGCCTCACGCGTCGCCGCTGCTCCTCCCGACTGTAGGGATCGGTTTCTGTGACAGTTTGCTTCAATCTGAGAGTTCGCCTCACGCTTCAAGATGTAACTTTTCGAATCCGTTAAGTATTAGGTTTTAACTTAATTAGATTAAAGTAAACATCGTTGTTTTCATGAAATTGTTTATGTATGTTTTTGATTGAACGCTTTTCGTGAAATTATTTGTATGAATATTATGATTTATTGCGAGCATGCTATATATTTTAATTATCGAATTAAATATGCATGTTGTAATTTAAATTTCGCTGGAAGCGTTAAGGTACGTAATTAATTGCTTATATCGAGTACGTGTTTATATGGATGAAATCATTTTCAATATAAAATTTTTGTTTTCCAGTGTGTACACGTGCCTGATCCCCAACAAAATATTAGATCAAATTTCATACCGTATATGGGGCAATGTCAGACGACAACAAATTTGGCGGTTTTTGACAATTATTGATAAGTGAGGCGATCTTTTATAAATTAATCTTAATGCAGAGTGTTTATCGTAATTTATTCATATAGTTTTTATATGAAGTAAATTTCATCTAAACATTCAATAT